CGGCTTTCCTGGATCGGCGCTGGATGCCCCCCTCCCTGGCTCGCGGAGCGGCGCCAGGGGCGGCGCCGGAGGCGACCCCAGGGGACCCAGCGCGAATCCAAGAAACCCGCGCGGACCTCCAAACGAAGTGGTTTACAGCCAAGACGTTGCAATAAGGACCGCTTTGGGTTCGGAAGGGTCTCGCTGTTCCTTGGGACAGTCCAAGACCCCCTGGCGTTGTGAAAAAATCGCGAGGGGAGCTTTTTCGCTACTTTCGGACTCGGGTGGCCCTTCCCGGGCCTCGGGACCTTCAAAAAACGGTTCAGGATGAAAATCCGGTCCCAGGGAGAGGGTCCAGACCTTTTGGGGGGTCGACGTCGGGAAAAGACACGACGTCGGGGGCCTGGGTTCCGTGGTCGCTCTTGCGGCCTCCCTCGTGCACCCAGGCGCTGCTGGTGATGCCAAACAGGGGGCGTCGCTCCTTCTCTCGCGTTCCTTACGGCAGCAGCCCGACCGTGTGCCCGCTGTTGCTCCTCATCCACCGAGCGCGCTCCACTGCTCGCAGAGTGCCTATTCGCCAGAACGTCCGAACAAAGACACGTCTTCCTCGATGCCCATGGAGCGCACACGCCCCCGCGGTGGATCCTGTCCACGTGCAGGTAGCTGCTCTGCGAGCAGCTGCACCGCGCTGGCCGACCTGCCTCTGCGACGCATCCCGCCCTCGCTCCGCCCTGCCCTCCGCGGCACCCCTCGCCGGTGGGAGCCCGGGGGCTGAGGGTTGGGCGCCGCGTAATGGGGGGGTCATAAATGGGGGGGTGGCGAGCGTGGTCCGAAAAGGTACCCAAACGGTACCTAAACGAGCCCCCTGGGGCTCTGGAGGGGCCCGAAAGGGGCACGAAAGGGGACCTTTTCTGACCCCCCCATTTGTGACCCCCCCATTAAGCCACGCCCAAGAGGGCGGGGCCGCGCACCGCCCTGCCTTTGACGCGGTGCGGCTCGCCGGCTGGGGCCGCGGCTCCGCTGCGATCCGCCTCGGCGCGGAGCCAGGCGCGGCGATGCGATGTCGGTTCGATTCGGGGGCGGCTCGCTGAGATCCTGGCGACTCGACTTTTCTTCGAGGCGGCTGCTCTCGCCCCATTTCGGGCCCCAGGACCCTCACAGATTGATCCGGCCATAACTTCAAACATCCTACTGTTCAGGCTTCGTAATTTCAAACTCCGCGCAGACGCGGGGCCGAGGACCCAACGCCCTCACGTGGTCTGCAGCAGTTTCGCAGAAAAGAAAAAAACAGCACAAAAATATCGATCCGGCTCGAAAAACGACCCAGGAAGATGAGGTCCGGGGGTCTGGTCGTGATTTGTTGCGATGCTGCATTGTTTTTGCAACGTCGGATCTCAGGGTTCGCTGATGGTTCGATCCGTTCCCAATCCGTTCCGGATTCGCGGTGCGATCCTGCTCTGGCCCGGCGAGGGTTGGTGCGGACCCGCAGCCGTGTGCCGCCCTTGGCGGCCTGGCTCAAGATCGCGCAGCCCCGCTCTGGCCCGCAGCTTGGGGTGCAAGCCCTGGGAGATCCAATCGAGCGACGGAAGAGGATGGGGTCGTCTGCGCCGACATCCGTGGTCGACAACTGGCCCAATGTCGCACAATTCGGGCGACGAGATCTATACTTAAGTCGGGCCTGTCCCTCTACTGGGAGAATATTCAAAAATAGTGAAAAAAATCGTCTGGTGACATTTTTTGAGCATGTGTTTTACTGCTTTTGAACATGTTTTGGCACATTTTTATTTTTCGCCCGAAATGCTTCTGTAGGGGGACAGGCCCGACCTAACGCCAGGCCCATCCTGAACCCAGGAGCTGTGTGCACGCCCTCGTGGCCAAGCCAGGAGGGCGTGGCGTATACACCGCTGCCGGGTTCAGGCTGGGCCTGGCCAGGGAGCAGTGTATATATATATAATATAATATAATATATATATAATATAATATAATAATAATATAATATATAATCTATATATGTATACACATATATATACATGTATATGTATCTGAATATATATATATATATATATATATATATATATATATATATATATATGTGTGTGTGTGTGTAGATGCCGCCGCCCCGGCAATCGGGCTCAATCCGGCCTCCTCCCAGGCCTTTGATCCAGGCTGATCCGGCTATACTGGCCCCCTTTCTCGGGCTTCCTTCGTGCCCCAGATTTCGTAATAAAAGGGAGGGGGTCTGGACCCTCCAAGACAAGCCAGTTTCAGACCTCCCCCGTGGGAGAACCCTCCAAAACATCGTCCCCAGACCCCCCAGGCCCTCCGAGATAGCCTGGAAGAGACCCCCCCCCCCGAAATGAGACCCCCCTCCCTTTATTACGAAATCTGGAGTACACCTCAGGCGATGCTTAAGAAAACTTAAGTTTTCGGCCAGAGTCTCGATTATTCTTAACGTTTCAATGTAAATCTTAAGATCTTGATAGAAATCTTGGGTTTTTGTTCGAGTTCTGAGACTATGAATTTCTTAACCCATGATTTCTTAAGCATTTCGCAGGGTGTACACGCAAAGGTGGCCCTAGGCACGAGTGACCTTCGGCGCGCGGCTTCACGGGGGCGCGTGGGAGTCGAACCCGAGCGCGCAGGCCGCCGCTGCCGCACCGCACTCGGCGGTCAGGGGACCCCCGGTGGGCCAGCACGGAAGGCCACTCCAGCGAAGGGCCACTTCTACGAGCAGACGCACTGCCTGGAAGAGACCCCCTCCGAAATCCCTGACCTTCCAGAGAGCTATTTTTTAGCACTGGAAACTTAAAAACCTAAAAAACGAGACGAAACAGCCTAAAACCAAGACGTAAAATAGCTCTGGGATAGGTTTTTACGTCGGGTGCTATTTTTTAGCCCTCCTGGAAGGTCAGGGGAAGAGACCCCCCCCGACATGAGACCCCCCTCCCTTTATCCCAGACCCCCGACGTAATGATTTTTTCATGACGTCGACCCCCAGAGGTCCCGACCCGTTCCCCATGACCGGCTTTGCATCCCGAGTCGTTTTTTGACGCTCCCGAGGCCCGGTGAGGGCCCCCGGAGGCCGAAAAGTAGGAAAAACCTCCCGTCATGATTTTTTCATTACTCGAGGGGGTCTGGGATTACGAACTCTGGAGCACCCCTCGAGCGTTCCAGCGACGATCTCCCGGGAGCTGCCTCCGAGCCCAGGCCCCCGGCGTCACGATCTTCTCACGACGTGGGCCCCGGAGGTCTCGGCCCGCCCCCCTGGAGGAGGAGGAGGAGGAGGAGGAGGGGGAGGAGGAGGAGGGAGGAGGAGGAGGAGGGAGGAGGAGGAGGAGGGAGGAGGAGGAGGAGGGAGGGAGGAGGAGGAGGGAGGAGGGGGAGGAGGAGGAGGAGGAGGAGGAGGAGGAGGAGGAGGAGGAGAGAGGAGGAGGAGGACGCATCCCGGGTCGTTTTTGCCTGCCCGGCCCCGAGGCCCGAGCAGGGGCCCCCCCCAGAGGCCGCGCACGGCGGAAAAAGCCTCGCGCCGTGGTTTCTTCGTGGCCCGAGCCCCGAGATCCGACGCAGCGGAAGACTTTCGGGGGCGGCAAAGAGGGGGGTGATGACTAGGGGGGGGGGGATATCATGGCGTGGGCCATGATATTTCCCCAGATCTCAGGGCGCCTCTTCTTGTTTCATCACGTCCCTGGCCCCCCCGCTGGGCCGCGCACGTGCCTCCGGTCATGATTTGCACACACCCCTCTTGGACACCCCCCTCTTGTAAAGGGAAATTAGGACACACAAATAAATACACACAAATAAAAATAGTCCCCATACTTTCCTATATTTTCTGGGTTTTTGTCTTCCCCCCCAATCCTATATTTTCCCATATTTTCTGGGGAATCGACGATTAATTGTGTCTGTGTGTTTCTTTCCCTCCTGATCTTGGCCGCTCCCGAGAATTGCAACATCGTGTACAGCATCACGCCCAGAGCCCCAGACCTCGTCTTCCTGCGCCGTCGTTCGAGCCAGCTCCACCTGTGAGGGACTTTGGGGCCCGACCACAGGGCGACAGCGCCCGGCTGGAAAGGATGGAGTCGCCAGGATCTCTCAGGAGGGGAAAAAACACACAGACACAATTAATCGGCGATTCCCCAGAAAATATGGGAAAATATGGGAAGTGGGGGGGAAGACAGAAACCCAGAAAATATGGGAAAATATGGGGAATATTTTTATTTGTGTGTATTTATTTGTGTGTCCTGGGGCCCCTTCACACAGGGCGACAGCGCCCGGCTGGAAAGGATGGAGTCGCCAGGATCTCAGAGAGGCAGGGGGCTTGGGAGCCCAGACCCCCTCGGGTCACGGAAAATCACGGCGGGAGTCTTTGTTTCCGATCTGTTCGGCCTCTGGAGGCCCCTGCTGGGCTTCGGGGCCGTCAACAAACGGCTCAGGCTGGGTGAAAAGCCGGTCCAGGAGAACGGGTCGAAACCTCTGAGTGTCGACGTTATGAAAAAGTTCACCAGAACAAAAAAAAAAAAAAAACGATCAGTGGATGGTTTGAAAATTCTGGCAAGAACCATGCCAGTGGATGGAACCCACCGAAAACGGCCCAGAACCAATGACCAGGAACCCGGAACCGGGAAACCGGGACCCCAGCCAGCCACCAACATCGGCGGGACATTTTCGCCAAATGTTTAATTTTCCGGTGAGACCCCTTCAGTGCAAGCACTGATTGGAGAATCACGACTCAGAATGAAAAGCCAGTCCAGGGGAATGGGTCGAAACCTTTGAGGGTCGACGTCATGAAACAATCACCCCAGACATGCGACGTTCTGATTTTTTCAGGACGCGGTCCCCGAAAGTCCCGACCTTTTCCCCGGGACCGGTTTTTCGTCCTGCGTCGTTTTTGACGGCCCCGAGGCCCGGCGAGGGCCCCAGAGGGGCCGAAAATAGCCAAAAGCCTCCCGCCGAGATTTTTCCACGACGCGATCACGTCTGGGACGACGTCGGGGGCCTAGGCGCGCAGCTGCCACCCCGGAGGGATGCCCGAGAGCATGCGGGGCCTGCCGGCCGCGGCGGGGGCGGCGCTGCTGCTGGGGCTGGCCGCGCTCCTGCGCGGGCGGGCGGCCGAGGCACCCCGCGGCTTCGTGCAGGCGCGAGCCGCTCGGGGGGCGCTCTGCTGCGCGCCGGCAGACCTCCGAGTGAGCCGGCCCAGTCCTTGGAGGGTGTCTCCGAAGGGCTTCGGCGACCCGTCCTCCTCCTCCTCCTCCTCCTCCTCCTCCTCCTCCTCCTCCTCTCCATCTCCATCTCCATCCCTCCTCCCCCTCCCTCTTCTCCATTCCTTCTCTGCTCCTCTCCTCCTCCTCCTCCTCCTCCTCCTCCTCCTCCTCCTCTCTCCTGCTGCTCCCTCCTCCTCCTCCCACTCCCCCTCCTCCTCCCCTCCTCCTCCTCCTCCTCCTCCTCCTCCTCCTCCTCGGTCCTCGGGTCAACTACGGCCCCGGGGGAAACCGTGCACCCAGACCCAAGGACCCCAGACCTCCTCATGGCGCTAACATCGCAGAGCGGATTTCTTTTGGAAAACGATAGGATGGGCCTGGAGTGTCCTGGAGAATTTCGTTCCGGACTTCGAGGCGAATTTCGTGCGGATTTTTGGGCCAGGAATGAAGACCCAGAAAGAATCACGTGAAGTTCACCTGGTTTTTCGCTCGCCGTTGCGGGGTGCTGCATGGGCAGAAGTCCATGCAAAAGTTCGCTACAGCACGTCTGCGAGGTCTGTGCAGCGAAAGTTAGCCAGCCAAGGCCCCAGGACCCCCTTCTGTCGCTCGCTCGTGGCCCCCTTGGTCCCGCCGGCCACCCCCTGTCATCTGCGCTCTTCTGCTGGATAAGGGTCTTTGGGAGCAGGTCGATTCCACCTCCTCCCCCTCCTCCTCCTCCCCCTCCTCCTCCTCCTCCTCCTCCTCCTCCTCCTCCCCCTCCTCCTCCTCCTCCTCCTCCTCCTCCTCCTTCTCCTCCTCCTCCTCCTCCTCCTCCTCCTCCTCCTCCTCCCTCCTCCTCGCGTTGCAGCAGGAATCGCGACGGGGGGGGGTTCTCGTGGTTTTCAGCCTCCAGGGGCCCCTGCCGCGCCTCAGGGCCGTCAACGAAGCGACGCAGGGCGAGAAGCTGGTCCTGGGGAAGGGGTCCAGACCTCTGGGGGTCGACATTATATGAAACAGTCATGACGTTCGGCCTTAAGTCAGGCATGTCCCTCTACAGTCGGGGGCGACAAAGAGGGGGGTGATGACTAGGGGGGGGGGGAGATCATGGCGGGGGCCATGATATTGCCCCAGATTTCATGCTGCCTCTTTTTATTTCATTACGTCCCTGGCCTCCCCGCTGGGCCGCGCACATGCCGCCGGTCATGATTTGTATTCCCCCCTCTTGGACCCCCCCCTCTTGGCCGCTCCCGATACAGGCAGGAGGAGGAGTCAAACAAGCATCCAAAATTGGTCTGGGGACGATTGGTCGACCATGTGTTTGATATTCTTGTTTCGATCATTATTTGTCTAGTTTTCATGTGTCTTCCAAAATCCACCTGTAGGAGGAGATGCCCGACCTAAACTCAGCCAGCCCAGACAGGCTCGCGTGCTGGGAAGAGCACGCCGGGCCCGGGGACCGTCGAGAAGCGAGTCGAGATGAGGACCTGGCCCCCTGGGGACCTCGCGAATGGGGGGGTGCACAGGGGGGGGGAGTTCGGTCCGTTGGCGCATCAAACCGCACAAAAACAATTCAAAACGAAGTCTCCGGCCGCCGCCGGAACCCGGGAGGCGTCGACAATCGGGGCGCGCGGGGGGCATCGTTTGTCCCACATTTGATGCACCAGCGGATCGAACTCACCCCCCTCCCTCAGAGTCCCCCCCCTTTAGTGGACCCCGACCATCTGGGGAGAGGGTCGGGGTTTCCGGGGGACCCCATCTTAAAAAGAGCAGGGCATCGCACGTCTGCGAGTGGAGCGGCGGAAGACAACGGGGTCGTCTGCGCAGACATGAGCCCGTTTCTTTATTGCTTGGGCCATGACGGGCGTCATTGCCCCCGTTCCCCCCCCCCTATGACGTAACGTTCCCCCCCCAGTGCGCTCCGGGCACTGCCGCCGTGCGCATTGAGATCCGCGTAGGTGTCCGCGTAGGAATCCGCATAGGTATCTGGTCCGCGGGCGTCGTCGTCGTCGTCGTCGTCGTCCGTCGTCGTCGCCCGTGGTTCGTCGCTCGTCGCTCATCGTTGTCGTGCGCGCGGACGCAGCTGGAGCCTGTTTTTATGACCGGGCCGATGACGGCAATCATCTGAGGGGGGAGGGGGTCGATGACGTCACGTTTCGCGCCGGCGGCGTCTGGGAATGCTTAGGAATGATGGAAGACGGGTAGCACGAACATGTAGGTGGTGGCGATCTGCACCACAACGCTTGTGTACATCACAGTGCCCGCGTGCACCACAGCGCCTGTGTACACCACGCCGCCGATGTACACCACATCAGCCGCGTGCAACACAGCGTCAGTTTGTGCCACCGTGCCTGCGGGCACAGCAGCTCCTGTGTACACCACAGCGCCTCCGTACACATCAGCCGTGCTCAACACAGCACCAGTGTACACCACAATGCTTGCGTGCATTGCAGTGCCTGTGTACGCCACGGCGCGTGTGTGCACCACATCAGCCGTGTGCAACACAGCACCAATGTTGTGTATAGAATGTCAGAAGGAATCCTTGTGACAAAATGGAGCGCGTGTGGATTCCATTGAAAACAATGGAAAACAAATCCTCATGGACGAAGGAGCGCCGCTGGAATCTACGAGTCCCCCCGAGTCCGCCCGCATCACCCTAACTCCCATTTGCGTCCAGGAGGCTCCAGCTAAACTGGCCGTCCGAAAACCAAGTGGACCGATTCAATCGACCATTCTGCGGTGCACGCTGGGATGCCTACGTGCATTGTAACGCCAAGCCGCACGACAGGGGGTAGGAATGAGGAAAAGGAGGAAGAGGAGGAGGTGGAGGAGGTGGGAGGAGGGAAAAACGTCGTATTCGATTCTCAGAACTTTCCTGGCGTGGCGTTTACTTGTCCGCAGCAGATCCTGACGTACATGCTCCTTCTACCTGTCCTATGCACGCAGGCACTGTGGTGTACACCAGCGCTGCGTTGCACGCGGATGCTGTGGTGTGGACAGGCGTTGTGGCGTGCACAGGCGCTGCGGTGCACGCAAGCACTGTGGTGTACACAGGCGTTGTGTTGCACATGACTGCTGCGGTGTATGTACACCAGCGCCGTAGTGCTCCCAAGTATTGTGGTATACGCGGGCGGTGCGTTGCACACGGCTGTTGCGGTGTACGCAGGCGCTGTGGTGCACACGCGCGGTGTGGTGCACGCGAGCGTTGTGGTGTACACTGGCGCAATGGGCAGATCGCCACTTACATGCTGCTCGCGTCGTCGTCGTCGCTCGTCGCTCGTCGCGTCGTGCGCGCGGGCGCGGCTGTGGTGCCGGAGCCACACGGGGGGGGGGGGGCGTCACGTCATACCCCCCCCGCCCTCTTCCCCCCCCCCCACGACGCCCGTCATCGCCGAACATAAAGAAACGGGCTCCATTGGCGCGTCAGCTGCCCTCGAAAGGTCGCGCGTTGAGCGCCCGCGTAAGCCGCGACGTAGTGTCGCTAAACGTTTTCTCGCGTAAGACCCGTTTTTTTTTTCCGATGGTTGGAACGCATACATTACCAGTGGCGGACTTTTCCTCCATCCCAAGACTTTTTAGGGGTCGGGGACGACGTCGAGGTAGTGTGGTGTTGATTTTTCCGTTTCCGGGAGGAACAACGAAAAATGTACACACCAGGATCCCGCATACACCAGGATCCGTTTTCTTGTGAAAGTGTCAGCGCAGGGCCGGAAAGAAAACGTCGGTGTATAGATAGAGTTAGTTTCCCGATTCCCGTCGCTCAGATAGGCTGCTTCGTGATTACGCCACCGCGCTCGGGCGAGTGCTGGGGGAGTGCCTGGGAATACGGGGGGGGGCGGCGGGGTAGTTGCCTCTTCACTAGCCAGGTGGGACCGTTGACCAAACAGATGGGACCCTTGACCGGCTGATCGGTAACAAATCATGAGAGTTTGGCATTTTTTCTTAATTCAGTCTTTAGCGTCGCTTAGCGACTGGGAGTCGATGAGATTGCGCCGATTTAGCGTCGATGAGCGTCGATTTAGCGTCGAATAGCGTCGATAAGCGTCGATTCGCAAGAGACGACAAGAGGGTATGGGAGGCTCCCATGAGTTGCCACCGAACTTGACCGGCTGATGTGTTTACCTGCTAATTGGTTGTTTCATTTGGAAGGGGACAGTGGGGGTCGGGCGCAGGGTCCCGGCAATGGTGTCTCTACGGGCCATGCATGTGCGATACGTCCTCGATTGTTGTGGTCGGCGGGAGAAACAATTGAAGCTCCCCGCCTGCACCCATGCGCGAGACTTGAGAGTAAGCGAAGCAAGAAGGCGGGGGCTCGGGAAAGGCGGCGAAGACAACGTGCGCTGAGGGCGCAAAAAGAAAGGCTGGAATAAGCGAAAGCGGTGAGGTGAATGTCAACATTTGCCCAGCCAATCTGACATGCGGAACACTGCGCCTCAGTTTTGGGAATCTTGAGGGCCATGGCAAAATGTAAATTCACATTGTGGGGAAACGCAAAATGTGAATTCACATTTTGGGAAAAGGAAAATGTGAATTCACATGTTGGAAAAGGAAGATGTGAATTCACATGTTGGAATTGTGTATACGAATCTTTATGAAGGGGCCAGAAGGTGCATTCACATAATTGGGAAAAAGGAAGACGTGAACTCTGATTCGGGAAATAAGGAAAACATGAGTTCACATTTTGGGAGAATCGCGGGACCCATTCCGAATCTGTCTTTGGGGTCGACGAGCCATCGTTTGGGAACGTGCGCGATCACCAGTCGCACAAGCAAGACACACTTGCACTCCACCCCGCCGCCCCACGCGCGGCATGCAAGAATTCAGGAGGGAAAGAAACACACAGACACAATTAATCGCCGATTCCTAGGAAAATATGGGAAAATATGGGAAGTGGTGGGGAAGACAGAAACCCAGAAAATATGGGAAAATATGGGGAATATGTTTATTTGTGTATATTTATT